CCTTCCCTGGGATGTCCCTGAGATTCGCCCACGTGTGTCAAGTGGCTTGTTCCTCTGGCTGCTGTGTGGGCGGAAGTCCACTGCACAGCTCTGTCGGATCCCGTTCTCCTGGGAATCGGAATCTGGAGTATGGGGAGCTCCCTCACACCTTTCCAGAACTCTCCTTTCTGCCAGAAGTTGGCTGGAGCCCATTTCTGCTGTCTGCAGTGGAAGGTCCTACTCGATACATCTGGTCATTCTTTTGCTCAAGTGCCTTCCAAGGCACCCACAGCCTTCGGTGTGAAGTCCAAGCTCTCGAGGAGATCCCTGAGCCATCCGTGCCGGCCTTTTCCCCCAGAGCACACCCTGGTCTCCACCCTACCCTCGGACCCCATCCTTCCTCCCGGCCTCCCTGCCTCCCTGCCTCCCCTGCAAGAACACACTTCTTCCTCTTCTGATGTGGGTGGGGAAGGCTCCCCGCCGGGCTCGGCTAGCGGAGGTGCTCCTGTGCTGGGCCCAACGCGCCACTCCCCCCAGCCCATCATCCACCCCTCTGCGCCGCGCTCTTGGTGTGGGGCTGCCTGGATGGTGTGCCCACCACTCAGCGGGCCTGCTCTCTGCCCAAGCCGGGAGCCCGAGCCTGGCACGTGGCAGGTGTTCGACAGACACTGGCTGAATGAATGACTTTGTTAAAAGAATGAATGAAAGTCCAGGGAGGTGGGGCCGCTGCACATTTCAGTCTGGCACTTAGGAGCCCTGTTCCCTCTCCAAATGGAAAAACCAGATCCTGCAGTGTGTGCGGCTCTGGGTAAGAGGCCGGCGACCCCCTGCAAGCTAGTTGTGGGCGTCCTGGTCGTCCCTGCCCACCCCTCTGCCCAAGCCCCGGCCCCAACCCCAGACCCCAGACCCAGCTTCCAAGAGGAGTAGAAATCGCGTGGTGAGGAAGTGGATTAGAGGTCAGGTGTTTGGAGAGAGCTCTCTGGAGCCATAACCCCACTCAGAAGCAGGGAAACATTCCACACTTGGTTTTGTGCATGAGTGTGTGGGGGTGTTTTTTTGCAGCTGTGAACTCCAGGGCCAAGGCTGCAAGCTTGGGGAAGGGAAAAAGAGAAGGGGGGAGGTGGTGGGGGAGGCAGGGGCGGAGGCGCACATGTGTTGTAGCGATTAAGGAGGAAGGGGGCTGAGGAGGGGCTGCCCCAAAGCTGGGAGACAGGTGGCCAGGCCGGGGGCAGCCCGAGGAGCCCCTGCAGAAGGGCTGGAACTCCAGCAGCCCTCTGAGGAGGGGGGCAGAGTGCAGGACGGAGGTGGGGGTGAGGCCTGCGTGTGGCTCCCATCCGAGACCTGGCCGCCTGGAGACAGACCAGCTGGCTGGGGGGAAGGCGTCCAGCTCTGAACAGGACTGAAATGACCCTCGGTTCTCGCTGGAGCCCGGGAAGGGATTGGCCTGGCGAGCTGGGAGGGGGGGCAAAGGAGCAGGAACAGGCCCATTGCCCTGGGGCTGTTGCTGCCCCTGGAGGCGTGGGGAAGGCAGGCGCAGGATTGGGCTGGGCTGGGAGCGGACTCGACCTGGGCAGGCTCCGAGCCAGCCGAGACGTGCGCTGGCATTCCCCGTCCTTCCCGCCTCCCGTGGCCTCCGCCTGCCAGCCAGCCTCCAGTCCTCCCCACCCCCACCCCACCCCTCACCTGCTGGTGCTGGGCCAATCCGGACCCCACAGGCAGCACGCTCTCCTTCTGCCAGGATGCCCTCATGCGCTTGCCTCTGCGTTCACGTCGTGGCCCTTGGCCCCCCGGCCCCGCTGGGGTGTGTCCTCTCCATTCCAACCCCTACCCCACCGTGTGTGTCTTGAAAACCATGCACACACACAGATGTGCACTCAGGCCAGCTTGTGCCAAGCACTGTTCCTACTTCGTCCTTTTGGGCTCTGTCAGCATCTGGAGGTGGGGGGTAGCTGTCTCTCTCTCCCCGTTTTACAGAGGAGGAGACTGAGGCCCAGAAAGCAGTGGAGACCGGCTCCTGGCATGTGCTTCTAGCAAGGCACCCATGCTGGTCAGCCTCTCAGACCACCCTGACCGCCCCTTCCAGCCCCGGCCCCCAGGCAGCATCCCTCCTCTCCCCAGCAGGTGGCGCTGGTCCCAATGGGACCCGGCAGGGGCCAGTCCTGGGTGGGGTGGGGGGGCCCATGGTGGGGCAGCCACAGCCTGGGGAGCAGGGAGTGGGAGCCGGCCCGCCACCCTCCCCTTCCCTCGCCCCCCTCGACCGTGGGGCAGGCCGGTTTTATAGAGGTGCTGAAATGCCTGGAATGCCACACAGCTCCCGCCTCCCGGACAGCTGTCTGTCTGCTCCGCCCGGCCCAGGATAGCAGGGCCAGCTGCTGCATTTGCATCCTCCAAATTCTGAACATGCGACCCACAGCTCCAGGTCACCCCAGAGCACATCAGCCCTTGCAGGCCGGCTCTCTGTCTAGGGATCCTCTGAGGTGGCCCTGCAGCTGGTGGGAGGGGCTCTGGGAACTGACACTCCTGACGCCTTCCTTGGGGTCCCCAGGCTGGAGCACCATCTGGGGCCTTGGCAGTGGGAGTTGTGACAGCAGTTGTGTCGTCTTCAGCTAACGGCTGACACTTAGCCACTCAGGTTACCTTGGCTCCCAAATACCTGCCAGGTGAGCCGGGCGAGGGCTCCGCCTCCCCTGAGCTCTGGGGCCTTGGTGTGCCCTTTGCCCCCGTGAGCCTCAGTTTCCTCATCTGCCAAATGGAGCACCCTGCCTCTGCCTCATAAGGTCAATGTGAGCACAGTTGAGTGTGAGGAGCTCGGAGAGGTGCTGGTTTAGGAAGTGCTGGGTGTCTGCTAAGCAGCAAGGAACAAACACGGGGCACTTCAGGCGAATGCTTCTCTGAAAGGCGGCCTCGCCGTCCACTCACGGGGGAATGGCTGCCCGAGGGACCCAGGGCTGGGAGCGGCCACAATTGACTGAACTGCCTCTGCGAGGATGGGAGACTGGGCGGAGGTCCTTGCCACCTGGCCTTCCTTAGGGACAGGTCCCGTGGCAGCGGAAAGGCTGCTGGGAAGGCACCGATCTCTGCTGTCCCTGCAGGACCTGACTCCCGTCCAGCCGGGCTCGGCCTGAGGCCTGGGCAGGCTGTGAAGTGCATCCAGGGGCCCACACGGATGCGGCTTCTGCCAGCGCCGCTGCCCCTCGCCCAGCGGCCGTCTGTCCCTGGCTCCGCAGCAGGAAGCTCACTTCCCAGCCACGCCAGGGCTTCTCATGGCCCCATCCTTGCTCCAGATGTGGGGACAAAGGAGCTTCTTTCTTGTGGATTTTGAGAGTGAGGAGGCCTAAACTCCCCGAGGCCCCCCATTTGAACTCCAAGCCTCGACCTTGTAGGACATGCAGAGCTGGGGAAGGGGGGTCCTTCTGTTTTGAGGTCCAGCCTCCGGCACACTGACCCCCAGCAGTCTGTGGGGGGGGTTCTTACCGAGCAGCCAGTCTGGGCCCGGAGCTGGTGTCTGCGCTGGGCTGGGCGGGGAGCGCACGAGGAGAGACTGGCTGCTGGGCCTCTCCCGGAACCGGCTCTCCTGCAGTCCTGGCCAGCCCCCTCCAAACTGGCCACGTGGTCCTTTGGTGGCTCAGTCCCTGTTAGGGGCAAGAGGTCTGCTGTCAGAAGGTGCCCGGATGCCCGCAGCTCGGGGTGGGCAGTGGGACATCGGGGCTGGGACAGGGTAGATGTGTGTCGTGCTGGCTGGCCTCTGGGTGCCGGGGTGAGGACCCCCCTCACATGGGCTCTGTCCAGTACCCGCCCTTC